AAAAAGGAAAAAAAAAAAAAAAAAAAAAAAAAAAAGGGGGTTCCAACAGTAGTTCCTCATGACAGCTGCGGGGTGCAGACTCAGATTCTGGCACGACTAAGCTGATTTCCACTGTTGCAAGTAGCTCAAATATTTCAACTTGAAAAGCTAGAAATATAATATTATTTGCTCTCTTGGCATATATTTAATTTAATTTAGTTTAATCTAATTAATTAACAAGTCCTTGTAAAAATCATTAATTATGATTTTATTGTTATTAAGAAACAACCTGTTTATCTTAGATTTTAGGTTATCTAGCTCATTTTATCTTTAGAATTAACTGCAATTATTTAACCAATCAGGCAACTTTGGGGGTGTGTTGTCTGAAAACCCTCACGAGACACACCTCGTCCTTTAAGAGTACCTTGGGGGTGTAAAGACATGTTGCATACGCTAAATGCAATCGCGATTCCCTAAGTGGCCTAACATAGTTTTATTGCTTTATGTATTTTTTATTTATTTTGTTTAGTTTTATTTAGGGTTAGCACCCCTTGAGTATAGCATATGTAACACTTGTCCCCTTAAAGTATCTTTGCGTATCACATACCTCCGTCAAGTATCATTTGTAATACTTACCCCACAAGAACCATTTAATTTGTATTTTAAATTTTAATACCCTTAAAAAAAATTCTCTTTTATTATATGGAATAATTGGACACTAATTAACTTATCTTATTAAGAATATTTATTGAAAAATATAACATTTTAAAATTAAAAAAAATATTGCTTGCATTGGTAACATAAATATAAAAACATAAAAATCTATTTTTTGTTTACAAATAAAATTTAGAAACAACTAAAAATTGTATTTATATATATAATGTTTAGTTATTTTTAAATTTTATTTGTCAACAAAAAATAGATTTTTATGTTTTTGAACAATTACAATCGCGAAAGATATCTTCAGATATCTTATACTTATATAATACGCACACTAGTGCCATCGCGAACTGTTAAGGAGGTGCCCTTGTTTCCCGAGGCTACCAAATTGCTAACCAAGAAGATCTGGTCACAATTTGGGCATGTTTTCGAGGCAAGATATTTTGTTTGCAAAGCTTCATCAACAAGCTTTGCAAACTACTATAAATAGAAGTTCTTATTCATTTATTGCTTATTTTTCAAATTTTATTTGGTTTTCGACAGTTCTTCGTAGGGAGCTTTGACAGGGGTTTCGACTCGGTTTTTCCGTAAGCATTTTCTTTACGAATAGTTTATGATTTCTCGTTTTTTTTTTTCTATTGACGCTGTCTGTAATGAACTAAACATTTTCTTCTATGAAATAAAATCTTGTATTTATTGATTTGGATTTTCATATTTGTTATCTATTTGCCTTGTTTTGATTTTGCTTATTCATGTATTAAATGCTTATGACTGATTGATGTTAAATAGGAATAAAGTCCAGAGATGATTTTTTTTTGAAATTAGAAAATTATAGCTTGGGGTTGTGGAAACGGAGACGTGATACACTTTGAGTAGCCCTTTAGGACTTGACATAAATGCTCTCTTAATAGCAGGTCTGAACGGAGTTGTCGGATCCATTGGTAGAATCTAATTAAATTGGAGACGGGGGGTTAGGGCACTTTAACGTCTAGGTTAATAGGATTTTGGCATTAGATATTAGATTTTTAGATCATTTTCGATAGTACATTGGTGGATTTTCCTGGCTTAGAAGCCTTTTACGAATCAAATCTTGCTATGTCATTGTTACATTTACGATTATTTGTAGTTGCATGCTTATGATTTTTATTTGTTTTGAGTTATTAGGTTCAATCATATGTCCATCCAATTACTCGTTAGATAATATTAGGATAATATAATTACATTACTCAACATTAGAATCTATAGGTCCATATGGATCGATCTTTAGAATTCACTATTGTGCAAAATGTGATAATGTACACCTGCGGTTATTTATACTTAGGCTTTATGCGTATCATCCACACTTGTAGAAAAATAAATATGAGGGATATACAATAGAAGATTAAGGGTTTTGGGTTTTGAGACAAACGAAACAAATCACATAATTCTTACTATAGAATGGTGTAAGAGGATTGCTCTATTCGTGATCATCTCATATGATCAAGTTATAGATTTTGTCAATACTAGTGTGTAAGATCAAATCTAAATCCTACTATGTAAGTTATTAGATTAGATTTATTTCACTTTAAACGAATCTAGTATGTGCATGCTAATAAAAATTAAAATTGACTAAAATCGAATCTCACTCGAATTTTCGATGGCATTTTGAGACTCATGTCCCAACATCTACAACCATCCAAATTTTGAAAAATTGCAAGACCACTCTTATGCTGGAAGATTAACAAGATAATAGATGATACTTGTTGAAGGTTTGTCGAAAGCATTGGTGAACCAAATGCAATTCTAACATCACTGAAGTCGAAGGATGGGACAAATGTAAATGGAATAAAGATAATTTTCAATGCTCGTAAAAAGATGTAGTTAAAATAAAACGTCGCTATATCTCAATTGCAATTATTATTCGCGAAGTTGAAAGAAGATAATTAGTTTTCGTTTTATAGTGCACATGAGACTGGTGAGATAACCGACTTGTTGTGGATGCATCCTAAATGCATTTAGTTGGCACGTAGCTATGCATACGCATTCATCATGGATTGTACGTATAAAACCAGCCGTTATGGACTCCCATTACTGGAGATTGTGGGTTTTACTTCTATGAACAAGAGGTTCTCCATCATCTTTGCATATTTGGAGCACAAAAAAACACATAAAACGTGTCCTCAGTTTAATTGCATTGTACCAAAATCGAGAGTTCGGTTTGATTAAAACAGTTGGCGATATGTATACATCCGGTCATCACTTGTTATGTTCAAAACTAATGAGTTATGGAAGTGGTTTGAGTCGAGTTGGTCGGCTCTTACCGATCAAGGGTCAGATAAACTATTCACTAGGGATTGGGATTCAATAGAAAAAAAAATGTTGATTATCCGGGCTATAGCTTATATAGTTCAAACATAGTTGGATATGTACAAGGAGAAGATTGCATCAGCATGGACAAAAAAAATGTAATAATCTTGGAACGTACACTTCTAATAGGGTGGAGGTGCACACGGACGGACGGAAAGAGATATGAGGAATCCAATTTGCACCTTTGTTGATTTGTATAAGCATATCCAAAACCTACATATGTTGCAACATAATACCATCACAAAATCTTTTGAGAATAATAAAAATATATACCAACCATGGTTCAAGTTGCCGATACAAAACGAGCTTCGCGGATTTGTCTCTACGTACTCTCTTGAAAAGCTGAAAGTTGAGTTTTACAAGGCAAATGAATAGGCGAATAGCGTCCGATCAATGATATGTCCTGCAATTGAGCTATTCAATCAACTCATGGTTGTTATCACGAGCTTCACAATTTTGTCATGAAGAAACTCCTATCCTACTTGAATTGATAGGCTCGTATTGGAAGCACAAAAGTATGGAGTCAATCATTGCTGCATGACAAGATGATCTTCCCACTTATGAGGATGACTTCGAAAGCATTTCACGAGCTGTTTGAGTCGTCCGATGGAAACACAAGGACTCAAATGCTTATCAAGTTGCTAGAGATTTACCGCCATGAAATTAATTCTCTTGGAATAAGTTGCCACCAGAGGTCGAACCAGAAAGAAGTTGAAGATTGATAGATCAACCCATTGCGACCCATCGTTGTTAGAGTATGCACCCTCGAAGCAAGGCAATTGTCTCTAAAGGTAAACTTTCTAATACTTATCTATTGTTGGAGTTGTATTGATATTGTGCTAATAATGGTGTTATTATTGTAAACAAAATGTAGCGTGTGCCTCTGAAAAAGATGGTTATAATCTCCCTTCCACATCCAATTAAAGCGTCTGAGCATATCAAGCGCATTGAGCCAATCAAAATGCGCGAGTCGATCAAATTCAAGGTGTTGTCTCATGAGTCGAACAAAGTCATTGAGCCGATAAAAGCAACGTGACGTCGTATGATTCGTGCAATCCCATGGTGGTAAACAGAATACCTGTCAATACAAAAGCGTATTTCCCTATTTCGTTATAGTGACTTTCGACATGTAAGTGTCAAAATTTCCCATAAATCGACATCTACATCTTTAAAAGTCATTGATTCAAGAAATCAACAAATAGTGACGTTTCAATATGTAGATGTCGGAATTATGAGAAATTTCGACACATACATGTCGAAAAGTCAAAGTTTCAAGATTTTTTAGTTTTTCCTCATTAAACCTTTTTTACTTTTCAGTGGCTATGTCTGAAAAATTAGCTAAATGGATACGTTTATTGGCCAGATCCATGCAAAGATTCGATGACATCATCATTTCGGAGCATGCTGATAAATACTCCCTTGCTGATTTTGGTTGCTGATTTGGAACTTGTGATAATCCTTTCTGGAACATTCTTCTTCTTCTTCTATCGTCATTAATAGTTCATTAATGTCTATTATAAAATCGTCTTCTGGCATCGACATTAATAGTTGATAAATGTCTAGAAAATCGTCGTCCAAACACTCTTATTCCTTGTAGTCCTTACAATTATCCATTGCGTTTGCGTTTAAGTTTGAATTTGCTGCCGCATTAATATTATTATTAATCCCATAATAATATTGATCATTCAAATTATCATGTGCTTCAACAACTTCAGAAACTCCTGACGCAACAACTTCTTCTTCCTCTCCTCGATTTTCTCGTACCGCAACTTGTTCTTCTTCTTCTTGTTGATTTTCTAGGAGATTCGCCCGCCGTTTATTAGAACTGCTTGATTTGAAACATTCTTATGAATACGGCAAATAACCCAGTCATCCAACTGCAAAACGATAACAAAATTCATACAGTTAGTTAGTAACCAACAACTTGTTATTAATTATTACAAAATTTATTATTAACTAAGGGATCGATCGCATCATCTTCGTCTAATTAATAAATAAATTAAATAATTAGATATTATATATATATATATATATATATATATATATATATATATATATATATATATATATATATATATATATATACCTTCATGTTGTCCTCGGCATCTCTTTTATTGCGAGAATGATGAATAGTTGTATATTCATGCATGATCCAATCGGTCTTAATCCCGTCTTTTGAAGATATTCCTTCGTGAAAAACCAAAGTCATTTTGCGTCCAATAATTTTATTATTAAATTTAATATCCTTGTCGGCACAACTAGCTTTCCAAAATCCGTTGTCTGCCGATTAGGCCGCGATCCCTTGGCATACTTTCGAATCCTCGGTGTGAAAAAGTACCATTCCTTGTCTCCAACTGGAGGATATTCGCCTGTATATATTTTCAAGAATTCAAGATCAATATGCATGGAAGAGTTTAAGATGAAAATAATCATAAAATTAAAAATCAAAAGATCACGCATGAACAGGGAAAAGTTGACAACTTAATTAATTAAAAATAATCAAGAAACCTTAATACAATTAAGATGAAAATAATCGTAAAACCTAAAAATCATAATCCATAAAAGAATACATACACAAGATCATTCATGCATGAACTTAAAAAAAAACAAAGAACAAATTGCGTACGTGTCAAAATATCGGGACCGTGATCGGAAAAGTTGACGACTTGAATAACGTCGGCTGGTAAAGGATGATTGTTGATCTTCTTTAGTAAGTAGTGAAAGATGAGTTCTTCATCTGTCGGCACGAAACGATAACCTGACGAATGCTTCGACTCCATTACAATCGATCACATATTTAATTCTCCTCTAATAAGTCTTTTTCTTTCTTGCTTTTGAATTAATAATGCATGCAACAGCTCTAAGGGGTATTTATAATATTCCCCGATTCTCTCTACACAATTTCAATTCAAATGAACTCTTTTATCATTCCAAGTGTCCGCCACCTTTCTCTCTCTCTTTTTTTTTTTTTTGAAGAGACTATAAATGATAAAAATGGCTATATTACATAGAGAAGAAGAGACAATTAACAAAAGGTTGTTGGTAGAAAATGATGGAAATTGATAGAAATAAAATTTTGTTTCTCAACGAGGCGAAAAAGAGGATAAACGGCAATGCATGAAAAGATTTCCGACTTGTGGACACGTGTCAGAATGACAAATAATGTAAAGTTGTACCTTTTGCCTTTTGCGAAGAAAACATAAAACCTGACCGACCACATTTCTTTTTAGGGAATGTGAGCATATAAATTATTATTCAATGACGTAGAAGCTTATCTTCATTGCGAGAGTGGCCCAATGGGATTGAGTATATACTTTTTTGATCTTCAACCACAGTTTTTTTCCGAATCATTTGTACCTTCTAAAATTAGTTTATTAACTCACATTTCCTCGTAGAAATCTCTCCAGGTCGTAATGGATTTGACGGTTGACTCATTTGACAACAATCTACCTTTTCATGTTGCAATCAAAACCCCATTACCAACCCTTTAGCAGAGTCCAACATTCAATATATGTTTAGAACTCTCAATACACCTCCACGTGAAAGAAGGGTTCGAACCTAGTTTAGCTCTCAACACATATGAATTTAGATAGTAGCGAGATTTGTGAATCCGATCCAAGAGACTGTTTGGTGTAAGGAGTAATCTCCATAATTGTTTGGTAAAAAGCACAATGTTGAATGATTCGAGATCTTGAAATTCTAATCATCATGTTTGTTTGCTCTTGCACATATCACGCCCCTTTAACCAATGGATCCCTCACCCCTTTGCATCTTCCCACCATGATTTTGCCATCAATATTTCTATAGTTCTAGAAAAATACGGGGGAAGCTTGAAACAACACATTGCGTACGCCCAAATAACTTGGAGCACCACCTTAATAAGAATTTTTTTTCCCCTATGGATAAACATTATCTTTCCACTCTTGCTATTTCTGACAAACTTGGTCCCTGATGTTTGCGAAAACTGATCGTTTTGGTCCCTCATGCTTCTCAACGAAGACCATAGGCCTCAATAACTTCATCGATAATTTTTTTTTGGAATTTTTACTGAATTCAATGCTTGTTTTCTGGTAATTAATCATTTTTCCCGAAGCTTTTGTTAAAGTAGGTGACCGAAAAGTCAACTAATTGTTGTGTTTTCTCACGCAACTATTTAATAACCTATTTCATATTAATGATAAATACCCCCTTTGACATTCTATATATTTGTCCCTTGCATAAGTATAGATGTTGTCCTTACAGTTACTAAATTACTATAAATAGATCTAATAGAATCGTGAGATTATTTATTTAAGTATATTAAATGTTAAACATAGTTCTTAATCAACGGGTTACGCCACTAATGAGGATATCGGTCTTTATTCCAGACTAGCACTTAGTATATGTGTATTGCATCTCATCAGTCAACGGTGTTGTGACATCGGCATACATAAGTGGATGATCATAAGTTGATGACTTTACTGAACTCCCTCAATCTAGAGATCTCTAAGGGGTTCCCAATTATCGAGTAGAAGTTTCTATGATACAGTTGTACACCAGTAATCCTTAAGACCCAGACATCACCATGACTTCACTAGATGACCAGTTGTATCGTGACCTATCCCTAAGTTCCACCGAGGACCACTACAAGGGCTAGTGTTCGTGCAGTCCGAAATCTAGTGGGATGTCTGTGCATTGTAGAAGGGGATTCGATCGCTTGATCAATCATGGATATCCTCTGTGTTCTTACGATTTATAATCCATGAAGTCTGTGGCCACAACTGAAAGTGTCGTGATTAGACAAATGTGTTTCTCTAAGTCAAACACGAACAAATTATTTAATCAAGAACGTCCACATAGTTATTGAACTCATAAAGAGGTCTCGATGAACCAATGCCTCTAGTTCAATCGGGATATATGTATCGAAGGGATCGTACTGTACGTTAACTATATCACACGGTTCTTGCAGGCACTTCATTTGTATCTAGAGAATTATGACGCATAGTTGCTAGACGTCAATCTTGATTTGTTGGGTAGTTAGGTTGAAACTAGCTTCAACTTAATTATAACTCTAGGGACGAGTTTAAACCACAAGGGGTTGTGGGTCCACGGCTAGCTTACACCTGAACCATCGTGGATCACACTGCTCGTGTACTTGAGATCCTTAATGCAACAAGCTAAGATTAATTAGTTAATCTTAGTATAATTAGAAGTCAATGTGATTGAGGAAAAGAATTCGATGGAAAATTAGTAAACTTTCAATGCTGGGGCAAGTCCTAAATTAGGGTTTCCAATTTCGAAAATTGGAAAATTGCAAAGTGGTACTCGTATCAATGAGAATTTTGTGCTCGTCATTAAAATATAACTGTTATGTACGTTTGCTAGAAACGAGCCGAGGAATAGTGTGAACTTAAGCTCTTGTGCCTAACCCAACTTAAGCATGCTAGGGCTTTCACAAGGACCATAGAAATATGATTTATATGTCTTGTGAAAGATACACAAGACAAGAATGAAACCCTAGCCTCTCGCCCTCCATCAGCTGTCCACCTTGCAGCCGAAAGCCTACCACCGCCACCAGCCGCTGCACCGCCGCCAGTCGCCGCCGCATCGGCATCTTCATTTTCCCCTCGTTTTTCTTCGTTGTACATAGCCTATCACGTATCTAGTGCTGCGTGGATAATGGGGATTAAATATACGAGGTGAACCCTAAGAGGAGGAAGATTCTTCTACCGCAAATGCCGCCACCAGGGTCATATCTACGCGCCGCCACAAGCTGGTGATGTGAGAAGGCAATTCTGAAAAACTGCTCTCGGATTTTCTACGCAGTCCAGCGAGAAAATTCGTCGTAAATCAACTAGTGATCGGATGGAGGTGAAATTTTGACAGAAGCTTCAACATTCATGGATCTATAATCTCCCTGAAGAATTGTTCATCCAGTCAATAACCTTGGAGATATAGAAGTCAGAGCAGGCTGTAATTTCAGATGAAAAAACAGGTTGGATCAGTAGGAGTAGCAGCTAGCCATCTTCTCGAGTCTTCGTTCGATTCACGCTTCAAGTATATATATATATATATATATATATATATATATATATATATATATATATATATATATATATATGTATATAGTATAGTAGTA